TTTTTTTTTTTTTTTTTTTTTTAATATTATTCTGTGTTTTACAATAAATTATCATTGTTATTCTTTCTCGTCAATTTTTTCCCCAAATTTGGCCAGTGGACCATCTTCAAGTCAGCTCCTGTTTCCTTTGGACATTAATCCAACTTCTTTGAGCGTTTTCTTGCTTTCTGGCCCAATAAGATATTCCAGGTTCTCCTACTCTCTCTGCTGCAACCATTTCTCCAAGGAGCCCTGTCTGCTTTTAGTGGAGAATAATATTTAGAAACCAAGATCTGGATGCTGAATGTGCTTATTGCTACTGGAGTATCATTGCTTACAGGTTTGGCACAAGTTTTAATGAGTGAACAAAGTACCTGATCCCAGGCACTGAGTATATAGAATCTTATTTATTAAACAGCAATGTGTCAGTTACCTATCACTACCACTAATTGTAGCCAGCATTTTGCTGAATATTTACTATTGCAGCTTTGGTCTGTTTGCTTTTATGTGAATTTACCTAATTTATGCCCTTCAACAATCCTATTCTCTAGGTCCTACTATCTCCACGTTTGGATGAGGAAACTGTGGTTTAAAATAATTAAACTACTTTCCTAAGTTCACATGAGTAGTAGCAGGGGATCCAGGGCAATGAACCTGGCCTGTCTGGCTTCAGAGCCTGCTCTCTTACCCGTAGGAGCTGGTACCAGGCAGCACTGGGTAAGGTACTAGTGATTCCAGACTGACCAGGCCCCCGCCATCCTGGAGCACAGTCTGGTTGTGACAACAGATAAATATGTAATTACAGTGTGGTAAATGCTGTGACGGAAGACCAGGGTGATGCGGGTAGGGAAAAATTCCTGGAAGAAGTCAGAGCCTGAAGGCTGAGTAGGAGATAATCCAGATTGGGATAAGGTGTTTCAAGCTGACCAAACACTGTCAGGAAAGGCCTGGAGGGCAGAGAGGAACTCACCTACCAGGTAGGGACTGTTGTTATTGCCATTTTACAGGTGAGAAGACAGGGTTACAGACGATTCCTTGCCTAGAGTCTTAGAGCCAGTGAACGACAGAGCTGGGATGCCAATAGAGTTTGCTAATAGTGCCTGGGCTCTTAACCACTGTCCTGTACATTAGGAGAAAGGATGCAAATTATTCTCCTTTTACTGAGGAAAGTGAGGCTCAGAGAGGTTAAGTGGCTTGCCCAGGGTCTCAAAGCCAGCAGGCTCCAGTGGAACTCTAAGACCGCAAGACCATTTTTCCTCTGCCACCCTGCAGAGGCCAGAGACAGGACCACGTAGCTTCCTCCTTACCGATGTACCCCAAGACATTTCCCAGCAGGTTTTCCTAGCTGTTTGCAGCAGTGCCACCATTTTCAATCTCTCTCTTGTCCCTAATTACACAGGGGGCCTCCCACTCAGCAGTCAGCGAGTCTTTGCACAGTGGCAGGGAAGAAATGCGTACTGTTTCCAGCCTCTCGCTGGCTCCTCTCTCCTCCCCACACGGCTGTCAAAATGACTAAGCGTTGCACAATAAAACATACAAGAAAGTGAAATAAACCTCCTCTCAACCTTGCTCCAGGTCTCTCTCCCACTCTCCCCAGCAAAACTCCTGTCTCTCCTCGGATGGAATGTTCCATCCTTCACAGAGGCAGCAGAAGGGCAGAAACTAGGTTGCCAAGCAGATTCCCAGACCCCACCCCCAACCTCCTGAACCAGAAACTTCGAAGGCTGCACCAGGGCATCTGCACTTTACACTCCCTGTAGATAATAATTATGCCCACCAAAGTTTGAGGACCACTTTGGAAGGTGAGGGCTCCTCAAGGCTGTGTTCTTGGGCCACTTCTAGTTACACTTTTCACATCCTCCCTGGTGAACAGCTTCATGTTGTGACGTCGTCCCTCATCCGATGGGAAACACTCCTCAGCCTCCAGCCAGCCCTGACTTCTCCCGAAGTTCTGATCGGTATATCCCGTGTGAGCCTATTGGATTTTATTGCATGGATATCCCACAAGCGTGACAAGTAAATGTCACAACTTTTTCTAAAAACAGTTCCTGCTTCTGGAATTTTTTCATATATAATCTTTTTTTTTCTTTTCGTGCTTCACTTTAAGCTAATTTTTTAATTAAAGCATAACTGATTATA